CTCTTCTAACCGGTTCGGTAGATTTGATGAACTGGTTCTACCGAATAGGTGCGAACTGGTAGGAACCCACCTCTGGTTCCCACCCTTATTTATGGCCCTGACAGATGTTTCGGGTAATTTAAAGAAAGCAGCTTTACCCGATTTGACCCATGTTCCTTCTCATTCCCCTGAACTGTCAACAGGAAGAGCTGGGATTGGACTGTCTTTCAGTATTGCTTGTGAGGAAATAGGTGGCCTTCCTAAGGACTTGGCACGACCCATTTAGCAACATCAGAACGTATTCTTAGCTACCTTTGGAGAAAAGCTGTTTCTAAGATGATAAAAAGGGGTTGGAATGTTTACTTTTAAAAAGAGTAAAAGCCAGGGCTTAGTTTGGGTGTTGAGTTTTGTCCTTGGAAGCAGAGATGCAGCCAAGTAGAAAAATCAGTATCTAACTCAAATGAGATTTTATTATAGCATTTCTTAATTTTGGCAGTTCTAAGATCTATGGGTTTCAGCTCCCAGAATTCCCCAGGCAAGATGAAGTCCACACATCTTCGAGCTGCCAAAATTAAGCAATATTGCTGTATAGCATTATTTCTTATATATATTCTCTGCATGTGTGTGTTTCAAATGCCGTATTCATTCAACGCGGGGAAAAAAGAATTTTGCAATTGGGAGATGATTTAAATCAGGGGTTCCCAGCCGGGGGTGCAAGCACACCCTGGGTGTGCAAGACGATATTCTAGGGTTTAGACGTTTCAAAATTATAATGTATATGCATAATTAGATTTAGATCAACTACTTTTCCCATTATGTTGTCATGTTTTCTCCAGAGAAAACCTACAGCGTGATGGTGAACCTATAACACGCGTGCCACAGGTGGCACACAGACCCCTCTCTGCAGGCACACGAGCTGTCGCCCAGTTCAGTTTCATTGTGCATGTGCACACGCCTCCCACTGGCCAGCTGATTTTCCCAGGGAGAAAATCCGGGAAACATGCACGCACGTGTGGGGGTGGGTCACATGCGCAGGGGGAGCAGGGGGGTAGTGCCCCCCTACACCTCATTTTTGGTCCCAGGATGCTTGCTACATCCAAAATGGGCCACGCCTGCTAGGCCCAAAACGGGGTTGGGGGGGATGTGTGGCGCCCCCTGCTGCATTTTTGGTCCGAGGCTACAGGGAGGCTTGCTAGGCCCAAAACGGGGCACAGGGGTGTCACACGCGCATGCGCAGGACACACGGGGAAGTCACACACGCATTGCATTATGGGTGTGGGCATGTGGGCATGTGCGCATGCACTTTCGGCACGCAACCAGAAAAAGGTCAGCCCTCACTGACCTGCTGCAACCTCAAATCATCTGCTGCAGCCCTTGAAGAGTATTCGGAGACTTCAGCTTGTCCAGAATGCAGCCGCGCGAGCGATCGTGGGTGTACCTCGGTTCACTCACGTAACACCTATCCTCCGCGAGCTGCACTGGCTGCCTCTTGGCCTCCGGATACGC